AAACTGCGACCAGATTGTATCAAAGTGCGGGGAAAGGGGTATCTATCTATATCTATCTATCTATCTATCTATCTATCTATCTATCTATCTATCTATCTATCTATCTGCCTGTCTGTCTGTCTGTCTGTCTGTTTGTCTGTCTATCTATTCATACAGTCAGTCGACATACAGTTCAAAGTTTTCAAAGAAAAAAAATTGAAATGATTTTATATATAGACTAAACTCAGCTGTTCCTACCACCAAAGGACGGCAACTTTGAGCAGAGAAGTAAATACGCATAAACTACTGAACTCTTTTCTTGATAGAAAGCAAGTACTTTTGATCAACACTTATTATGCTATGAGCCCAGATGTCTACTTTCTGTCCAGTGTCTGAACTGGCTCTCTGCTGCAAATATTTTGAAGATTCTTCGAAGACTACATTTTTGTGCAATGTATCAGAGCAATGTGTTATACTGTACAGAAATGTTAACATCTGTCTTTGTCGTAATCTAAGACACAATTTGGGGAGGGGGGGGGGGCGTTGTACACCTTATTTGCATTTTTCCACAGTTTGGAAAGCTTTGGGACTAAGCTTTGGATGGGGGCTCTCGTGGCCTAGAGTTTAAGGTGTTGGCCTCTCATTCAAAGGTCCCGGGTTCGAATCCGGGTAGCGACTGAAAAATTTTCTTCTCTAAAATTGTCTCCTGTCATCTCCTTTCCTGGCCTCTAGCATTGTTCTGTCGAGATCGTCTGCTTTCATCTCCTCTTTCTGCCCCCACCCCTTCATCTCCTTTGCCCCCTCCTCTGGGCTCCTGACTCTTTCTGCAGCCTTTCTACTACTACTCCTTGGCTCCTTCTTACTGCAGTCTTTCAGCCACACCCCTGATCTTCTGGTAGGAAAGATCTACACCTAGCCTTCTCGGACAAGGGCGAAAAATCTCGAAGGGCCCGTGTGAAAGTTGCGCACGTTAAAGATCCCTTGGTGGTCTAAAATCGATAAGAGTAGGCTTCGACTGCCACCCGGATAAAAATTCAAAATTTCCTACCAACTGAAAAAGTTAAATGTGTTCCGCGCGCTCATATGACCATTATGCAGGTGCGAGTGCCATAAAACACTTACTAAAACAAAACATAAGTTTTGGATTGATAATAATGCGGGTTTAATTCTGTTTTGTTAACAGGGCAGGAATAATAACATTTAGTTCTAGAGATTTTATGCATTTGATTTCACTGACTTTAGAACGTATGCAAGGTCTGACCATGGCCTATATAGAGTCTATGACTATTACATTATCGGCTCTTCTCCATCCTAAATCTCTTTCTCAGGTAGAAGGACAAACTCCGTATCGGACAACAAAGGTGTTCCATGATGAACAGAAATTATTGCTTAAGGAGGCCTGTATATATCATATGGATGTAAAATGACGTAGTGTCATCAACACCGTACGACTGTGGCGAAGCGGTTATAGTGTAGGCGCTTTGATTCTCCAGTGGAGACAATTCTTATCGAGTGTCTCAGTCTCAGTCTTTCTGCTGGGAAACCCTCTCTGCCCGGGTTGGACCTGACGAGCAGAGTCGAATCCCGCTTCATAAATGATCTAAATTGTGTTGAGAGCCGTGAAAACAAATACATAAAAAATGTAGTAAACTAAAGGAAGAAAGGAAACATGATGTTTATTACCTTGTATAAGAATGATTCCCCCAAAGCTAATTCAATGACTGTCTTGAATAAAAAGAGGGTACCCATTAAATATCTATTTAACTCAATGTTTATTTAATGACCTTTTTTTTCTTAAGTAGGAAGCTATTAAAATTAGTTTTCACTGCGGCTTTTTCCCCCAACAATCTTAGTTCTAGTACTGGTAACTTTTTAAAATGGTTTTGCATCAGTGCTTCGAAAGCTGAGTTTCAAAATTTGTCCAGGCCTGCAAAATAGAAACACATCCTTGGCAACAAAAGTAAGGATTCTAAACAGATATGCTTGGCAACCCTTCTATTCAGCTGTGAATGCTGAACAATAACGAAAGATACGGAAAATATACTAGAGGCAACAGATATATGGTTTCTTAGAAAACAGGTGAAATTTCCAAGGAAAGAAAAGAAATCAAAGTAATTAAGTCGTACAGAAAGAAGCCACTGATAAAAAACAGTTCGGAAGAGGCAAATACAGTTCCTGGGACGCTTGCATCCCGCTAGAAAAACAGAGGACAAAAAAAAGGCAAAAGCAGACCAGAACAACGTAGGTCTACTCTCTGCTCAAGCTTTCTAAGTAGTACTTAGATAGCTTGAACAGATGCTGGGCTGCAAAAGACAAGGATACCATGGGCTTTTTCAGAGTATCCGAGCGCAGAAATGAGTGGCGAACCATGATAGCCATTGTTTGTTTCAGATCCAGTATAGCATTTGAAGAAGAAAAAAAAACGTTTCAAAGGCCATTGCGAATCAAATGGCTCATGATTGAACTCCCTAGATAACGTAACCACATCCCAAATAGACTGATTTTATGTTTTTCATCAAATCCATTTCCTTTAAAAAAAGCAACAACAATAAAACAGAACCAGACAAGAAAGCAACAATAAACAAACATAATAAAAACAAACAAATATGAAAAACAAATATACAAACAAACACACAAACAAACGAACAAACAAAAAACAGAACTCTCACCCACGTTCCCCCTCTTAAAAAAATGAGAACCCCCC